TAGAGACTTCTGTTCAGCACAACGCATGCAACTTCTTCCTTGGCCTGCTTATTCGCCGGATATGTCGCCTATTGAGCACGTGTGGGATATGGTTGGTCGGCGTCTCACTCGTGATCCGCGTCCTGCAGTTTCCAAAGACGAACTTTGGTTGCGCATACAAGCGATATGGAATTCTCTTCCTCAAGCAGATATTCAACATCTGTTTGACTCCATGCCACGTCGTATAGCAGCACTTATTGCAGCGCGTGGTGGCTGCACCAAATACTGATTTCGGACGCTTAATTTGTTTCTTTTGTTTTGAAAATTTCATCATTTATTTGTATCAGTACAAGTCGTTTCTGCATTAAATTTCATTTGATTCTGATGATTCTTTCATGGTGCTGCATTTTCTACAAACAGCAGTTTAGTACTTAAAAATATTTTTTGAGTGCTTAAAAAGTACCTAAAAGGTGCTTATTTATATGCTATATTTACTTTCATTTTCTATCTAGACATCACAACTGCTCTGTCTCAAATGAAAAAAGAAGATTGCCTTAATCTTAAAATTCTCGAAGGGGTTTCTCCCTACAGTAGCGTGGAATCGTCTCCTTGCCGAGACAGCGTCTACACGCCAGACTTTGAGAGTGAAAGTGATGACACCGGTGGTAGAAGTAGTACCTCTTGCAGTTCTACGTCAGGATCCTTTGAATGCATCCACAACAAATTCAAAAACACGATGGATGTGTCGGCCATCATCGACGAAACGGAAACTTCTCCTTTCAGCAAACAAGAACCCGATGCAACACAAATTTTTTCTAAAACTTGGAGCTGCACTGCAACTCCTACCAAAAGTGTTCTGGTCTCCCCAGAAAAAAAGGTCCGTAAAGATAAAATTTCTTTACAGTTATTTCAGGCATTGATTCAAACATTAATTTTTCAGGAAGGAGATTTTTTGACACTGACGCATGAGCAAGCTGTGCAACAAGCTTTTTTCTCAACACAAAATATAATTAATGTTATTCTCTTTTCATTTAGCTACGGAAATTAACATTAATTTACTCACAGTGTTAAAAAGTGCCTAAAAATATCGAATCAGTATTTAACAAATACTGATTCGATAAGTAGAACTTTGTTCCATCTTTTTTTAAGAGACCTTTCATGGTGAATGATTATTACAAAAAAAATAAAAATAAATATAAAAACATTAAAAATATGATTAATATGTCATAATTATTAGATATTGGAATGAAAATAAATACCTCATAATTAATTTTAATTCAAAATTAAATTAAATAGTATGTCAGACAGGCACAAATTATCTTTATTTGTGAATCACCCGAAAATCAAAGGTACAAAGATCTTCTATTTTATATACATATATATTAATCTTGAAAATTTAAAAGACTGAGAAAAAAGATTTTAATGACTGTTAAAAACAACAAAAAAAGCCCCGAAATTTAGAGCTCTAGGTCCTTGAATTGTATATATAGCTTCTTAAGACAAAATTCTACTGTGACAAGACACGGATTGGAAAGAAAAAAAATTGGTTTCGAGAAAAAACTTTGTTATTAAGTATGTATTCATTCATAATAACTTTCAAATCAATTTTATGGGGGTTAGGAAGCCACTTTATAGTCTGAGCAAAATAGGATACAGCTTGTCAAAATCAAAATTTGGGTGCTATTTAATTTCGGCTCAGTTGTGCATAATATCTACTTTAAAAAATGACTTTGCAATAATATTATCAATAAAAACTATTGAAAAAGAATTTGATTGAAATTTAATGCTATTACAGAATTTATAAAAAATATATTCGACGAACCAAATAGTATGCCAAATGTTTGGTATTTGTTGAAATTTATCTTTGGTGATGCATCCTTAAAACAGGCATGAGGTTCTTCTAAATTTGTAAACTGATTGTTTCAAAAATTGGTGATTTTTAGATTGTTGATAAGAATATTTGTAAACTGATATTTTAAATTGCTATTAAATTTTTCGGAGAAAAAAAAATAAAAAAAATGCTATGTTAGATTTTTATTTTTTCTTAATGTTTCTACCTTACTAATATTATATTTTCTTTAAATATGGTTTATTTATAAAATTTTGTTGAACTCATACAATAAAATAAATTTTAAGTAAGTAAATAAATAATTTAAATTTTCTTTTGTTTGTGCAAAATAGTTTCACAGCATTTTTCATGAGTTGAATTGATACAGTTTTTTTTTTTTTTCATTTGCCTGATGATATTGTATGCATATCTCTTTCATTTATACTTTTCCAAAATGCTTTGTTAATGTATATGGTGCATAGTGTTTTTAAAAAGTGCTTTAAGGTGCTTATTTTTGTTTTTTCTTCGTTATTTCGTTCGTTCGTCATAGACTTTAAAAGCGTTTTTTTTTCATTGGGTGTTTTTAAAAAGATTTTAGTTTTCCCTTTCCGAAAATGAGATTTTTTTCTTTAACATGTCCATTTTCGCTGCGTATTATGCAAAAGCGTGTTTTTCACATTGCTCTATTAAACATTTCCACAATTCATTCAACCACAATCCATTTGGGCGTACCGTCGGTGTGTAACGTTTGATAGTTCCTATCATGTTACTTATATGATGAAATACTTGGGAGTCAGCATGTGTGTCTACTGAGTTGGATTAGGTGAGATTCTTGCATTCTCATGTGCAACTTTACTGCATTTTTCTACACATTCTCAATTTCAGGTTTTCAGCGTCTGAAATCGAACCGAAAAATCTCTCGATCTTTTTATGGTGGCTAATATAATCAAGAAAAGAGTTCTTTGTCAGAAACTAGTTATTTTATCGTGATCATGTAAAGTCTTCGAAAATTACTTTGCATTTTGTTAATGTATACACAGTGAACCCTCGCTACTACAATATCCGATTCAACAATAACTTCCTTTATTACAATAATGTTTCATGGTCCCTAGGAACTTGCATATGTATTAATGTTATCTACCTCTCAATATTACGATATTCTCTGAAGCGATAAACCCTGTAAAACAAATTTTTTTTCAAATTTCAACCTTATTTTCTCTATTTATTATTGGTTTTCAAACAATGCAAAGAATTTTATTTTATCATATTTTGCCATTTTTTTTCTCAATCTTTTCAGACAAGAGAAGACTCACTGGTGATTATGCACTTATCTTATTTCTTTTAACCACAGTGAATGGCTTTTGTAGTCAGATTTCAATACCCCTTCCTTGATGTACGTAGACCACCCCAAGACCTTCCATTCTTAAAATTGCCCCCAGATGTATCATTCCTATCTGATTTCATATTTAACTATAATTACCACAATGCAAATTAAGTCTTTATATTATATATAAATAGATTTATACTTTATACATATATAACATTAAAATTTTAAAAAAAATCTTATTTTGCAACCAAAGTATGTAGGCTCTTTGCTATAGTAATATATCACTCTACAACAATATGGTTTCTAAAATATTGTTGTAGCGAGGTTTTACTGTATTTTTCGAGTGCTTAAAAAGTACTTTAAAGGTGCTTATTTATTGTTGAGAGATTTGGCTATGCACCCTAATGTAATTTATTTATATGGTTTTTGGTTTTACAGTTCAGTTCTATGAGGAAGAGTGTTTCATTTCATGAAGAAGATCCACAAGTAGTGTTTGAGTATCCCCCGGCTACTTACAGCAGTGAAGAAGAGGAAGAAGAGAAGGGCAGCATGCATGGACGTGTTTTAGGCTGGGACATTGACTTCAACAAATATGCTGGTATCTCTACCAATGCTCTTATTATTGCAATATGGTAAAACCTTACGGAAATCAATGAATTTAAAAAAAAATCAAGTGGTTTAAGTCGTGATTTTGATCATGATTTAAATTATGCAACCTCTGATTAATTCTGAATTTTTTTTTAATACAAAAAATTATTTTAAAAATATTACAAAAATTTATAAAGTCATTATAAAATAAAAATTTTTTCGCGGTGATAACAGAAAAAAAAATTCTAAGCAAGAACTAGAAAGTATATTATGAAACTTAGACAAGTACTTCATTTCTATTTATGTTTTCGATTGTAAAAAGCATGAAATGTGTTTAACATGATAAAAATATATTCTATATTAAGCATTTTTAGAACATTTTGCTCACATGAATGTATTTTTATAGTATATTTGCATTAAAGTTATGATATCTTAACAATGATAACAGAACACAGATTCCCATTTAAGTTAAGAGTAGAAAATTTTTATGAGAAAATTTAATAGTTTTTCCTTATTTTTTTTATTTAAAAAACTGGCTTTTTTTTTTTTCAAAAAAAAGAAGCCATTTGGTTGGTCAACCCTGGTCTTTAGTAATTATCTATCATTTTAATTCAAATTAAAAAGGCAGGCGTAAGCAGTGCATGCCAACGAAAATATTTAAATATTAAAATAAGTAATGTCAGGTCCCCCTATGAATTGTAATGATTTTTTTTTTCATGATAGTTAAGGAATACCTTTCCTATGTCGCTTTAAATAAAAATATTTACTGGCCCGTAACAATGTCTCAAAAATGTTCAATCACAAAGTCTTTGTTTATTTTTTTACTGGATAACTTTGATTTTTGATGTTAATGAGGAAATTGTTTAGTAAGGGTTCAAATCATTAAATATACTATTTCGTTAAATGAAAACCTAATTTTTTTTTTAATCCTGGATGTTTTTTTTATTTTTAATAATTACAAAGAATTGTCATATAAAAAAAATAACTCTGTTTACAGACTGGGAACTTGGAGAGATTGAAGAAGAATTCAATCCGGTTATGGAAATTGAAGAATTAGATTCTGAACCTTATGTTCGCCGTCCCACTTCATCTTCGACTAGGCCTTCGACTATCTACTCATTGACGTCAGAGCTTTCAGATGATGACGACATTGATACTTCTAGGGCACCTTCCAATTCTCCTGAGGGTAAATTTAAATATTCTTTTGAAATAATTGTTGCATTTTTCTTGAATTAAAAATCCAGTTTTTTCCGCTTTTTGTTTCCCCGATAACAATTCTGGGATTTTTCAATTGTTGTTGATGTATGCCTGTTTAGGCAGAAGGGGTGCGATTGTTCTTGTTTTTCAGTGGCACCATCAATGGCCAAGAATTTGACTTCTGCCACACCATACGTCACACCCGTTTATAGGGCAGACCCATTCATACATCCATTCATTCATCCACAGATCATAATTTTGGCCTGAATCATTGAACAATCGATCTCCAATCCAGTACCCCCAGAGGTTTTGATTTGTTATGGGAACATGGAGGACTTTTGCGACTCAACAGATTTAACGTGCATCAGTCACTTTACTACACGGGGAGTCTTCGGCCAGCGGGGCTCGAACCCACGAACATGGGCCCAGCTCCCTACCGACCAGGCTAGATTTTTCAATTTTTTTTATGATGAGTAGAAACTTGATTTTGATGATACTTTATGAATTTGATAAGTCAAATTGTTAGATCCTTATTGAACAATCTAAATATCACATTTATTATCAGTGGATCTGTTAAATGTTTCTTTTTTTTTTTTTCATAATGAAAGGTTAATTTAAAATATCTTCTTTTCCCATTGTATAAAGAGCAAAATATGTCCTAATTGAATCAATCTAATAGTACAAGTTTGTGACAGTTACTTTTTTAATACTTCCACAGCAATTATAACTACAGTATTGTTTATTTTTCTTTGAAACATAAAAGCATTTTAGGTATCTGTGTCAGTTTACTAGGGATTAAACAGTGTAACTTTCTTTTAAATATAACTAAACCCGTAACTTACAATGTAAATTGTATGCAAATATATTAAGATCTAATTTCAGTTTGAAATCAATAACATTTTTGAACTACAGATCTAAAGAATTATTTATTGCAGATGTTATCTACACTAATTACAATTGTAATAGTTATCTGATTCCACGTCCGTAGACTGATGTAACTTTTGTGCCCTATCAGTCAGTATTCCAACACATACTCCACCTTGGCGTCAAGACTTATCTGTTTTTCTGGCCACAATTATCTTAAACTGATAGATGCCGCAAATGGGCCATGGGTGTGAGGTCCTGTGTTGGTGTTGTTTTTAACACAAAGGAAAAGATGCATTTAAAGATGTTTTTTTGTGTATATATATATTACACAGCTGTAAATTATGGCCGTACAAACTACATATTAGTATATCCGAGGTTGCAAAACGATATCATACTACTGTGCTAGAAAATGCTAGATTTCTGAATCCTTCTAATAGTAGAGCTAATATTATATAAGATTAAATAATATTCAATCTAACATTCAAATTTTTAAAATTATCATTGATTTCATCGAGAAATTTTGATAAAATTGGTTCTTTTCTAAAAAAAAAATTTCTGAACACGTTTAAAATTGAAAATAAACATTTCAAAACAGTTGATATAAATTATATAAAATTTGCCTGAAAGCTCTTTGTGTAAAGAAAAAAATTGAAAAATCAACTCAAGTTAAGCTTTTAAGTTGTTATTTCTTAGTTAAATTTGAAAATTTCATTCATAAAAATTAGTTGAACACAAAATATATTTTAGAGCAAGAGGTCAGAAAATAAATCATCATTTTTTTAAAAATTAATTTTAAAATCATTGATTTGTTTTCTTTTTTAGAAGGTAGGTTTGCTCTGTCTGATTTGGAAATGAGTCAACTAGTTTGCAATCAGCTCAATAAACTTGTCTTTGTCGAGAGGGACAAAAAATCAGTTCCGGAATGCGTTGAATCCGTCCCTAATTCAACCCAAAATGAAATCAATTTTCTTACTCCTTCAGTTGATGTTTTCAATCATGAAACTTCTTCAGAGGCAGCTGACAGCCGGTTTAATTCTTCAAATGCAATTCATTCAGAGGAAGATGCTGATGAGGACAGAGCAGCAGATTTCAACAGTGGTGAGGCAGGTTTTTCTCAGAATGACGTAAGTAAATCTTCTGACTTCAATGAAGCTCCCTGCGAAACATTACCTGATGGAAACCGAGAAGAAATTAAATATAATTCTGTACTTAACAATACTTCGGGTGCCATATTTCCTTCCCAAAGACATATTGTTTCTGATTCAAAATTGGATTCAGATAGTAAGCTTTTCGAGGCTGATTCGATTTTACAAAATAATCGCTTTCAAGTAGATGCGGTGTGCGAAAAAGACGTCCAGGATTTGCTTGAAGATGTCGTTGCTCAAATAATAAATAAATCTGTTTATATTGACTCAGTTCCTGGTGATGATTCAGTTCAGAAAAAAGAAAGTGCCTTGAATCCTGTTCCAGAAATAATAATAACTCCTGCAGCAGCAACTGAAGAGGATGATCCGGATGGGGAGTCTTTACTCCGGCAGCTATTTCGTGGTGATTCTGATTATGTAGAAGCTTTTAACTTTGAGTTCAATAATGGAGACTTTTTTGAAGACATTCTTGTCCAGGAATCCAGGATATCCTCCTCTGATCTAGACATGATTGAGAAGTCTGATCCTGAGCAATCTAGTCCTTTGTATTATGCATCCAGAGACACCACACACCTTTAGATATATCTATACATATATATGTATATCTATATATATACACATACACACCCCGTGGCAGAATGGTGACGACACGGTGACATTTAATCAAAGAATGAAACTAATTTACAAATGCAGAAAAAGACAAAATAAGTAAGTAACATTTAAAATAATAAATAAAACTGAAAAGTGCTTAAAGAAGCTAAATCCAAATTTGTTTTATTTTAATTTAAAAGTCAGAAAAACAATTTTAGCAGAGAACAACAAAAATTATTTAAAAAAAAATTTAAGATATATGTGTTAGCAGGACAGCACTTCATCAGGGGACACACTGCCTGCTAACACACAGGAGCCTTTCTGTCGTCCGTGGTGAAACCAAAAACTGTGTGCCCCGAGCCCCCATTGTGGAAAATTAAATAAGAAAAAGCAATTAGAAAAATTTAAATGTAAATGCATGCGGTGACATTGTCGCAGAACATTACAGAATTCCTGCACAAAGTTTTTTTATTTGAATAGCAATAAAGTTTATTTATCTGCAGAATTTTTCGAAATATATATATTTTTTTGCAGAACTCCCCCCCCCCTTTCTGCTGAATTATATTCAAAAAACCACTCGTGTTTTTTTTTCTTTTATACTTTCTTTTGAGAATAAAAAAAATTCTGCAATGATGGGCTTTATCTACAATTTCTGATTGATATTATAAAAAGTAATTTCCAAATACCAAAAATTTAAAATTGCCAATAATATTAGAATATGTATTCTTTTATATTTAGAATTTTAAAAAAATTCTTACCTTTACAATTAAAAAAAATATATATACTGTTCTGCTCTATACGTGAAGACTTTATTTGTAAACAAAAAGCACCTCTGATACTTTAAATTAGTAACATATATATTTGCTACTATTGAAAATGTCTCTCAGAAAGGTATTAGTTACTAGAAAGAATTGTCGCTGAAAAATCTAGAAAAAATTCTGCCACTGGGGTTGTGTATATATATATGTACACATACATATATACATATTGACAATTTTTACCAGTAGATAGTATTATTTAATTTTTAACTTTTAAAAAAGTGTTGTCATTCACTGTTATAGTTCTTTAAAGCAGTTGTTAATTAGAAGGGAAGAACTTATTAAGGGACTTTTTGAAAATACTCAGTTATCTGGATTATGTTATGGTCTAATTTTGCCTAAAGACTTTTAAGTATGGTAGATATCAATGCAAAAATATGTTCTGAGAACAAATTTCTAAAACTGAGTGTTTTTTTAAATTCACTAAAACGTTCTTCCGCTATCTTAGTTATATCATAAATTATTTGTTGCATAATTTTTAACGAGCTTGATTTTGCTTTAACTTATTTTATTAAACTTGTCTACTCCCAGTCTTATACTTTTTTTTTGTGGAAATAAAAGTTATTATAGTCCGTCACCGCATAAATATACATCAGTGAAGTTTCAAAATTCATTTTTACACATGATTATTGATAAAAATGTAAAATATCTGCATTCTTATTAGTACAAAGGTTAGGAGGGACTTAAATTAAAAATTTTGTTTCGCTATTTTAGTTAGAACTTATTTTTAAGCAAATAACAGTAAATAACTGATAAAATTAAACTTCTATATCTAGAATAAAACAAAATTGATGTGGACAAACAAATCAATGAATCTGTGAACCTTTAAACCAAGGAATCACTGAACAAGTAAATCGGTAAATCTATGAATGAACAATTCAAAATCGCAAAGAATGTATGCATACAAGGCACTCAATTAAATAGCAAATCAGGAACAAAAAAATCATTGGATCACCAAATTAATCCAATACGCTGGGGAACAAGTTTTTTGTTGCATTTGATCTTGCCTAATTGGGGTGTATGGATTTCAAAGTTGAAATTAGTTTTACTTATAATGCTGCAGATTTGTTTTAAAAATTACATTTATAGTCTATTTTTTGTTGAAATGTACAAGTTAAAAATGTTATATATAACAGTGGGTCACATAAATGTTGCAACAAACTTCTAGGAGAGTTAGAACACATCATCAGGATTATAATTGCACCAGAACCCATGCTCATAAATCTCGTTGTATGCAGCTAAGGGCACTGTTTAGAAGCATACAATGAAACAGTTCATAATAGTCATCATATGCCCCTAGCAACATGGGTTTTAGTCTCAATGATGTGCCCTAACTTCCCTAGAAGTTTGTTGCAATATTTATGCAACCTTCTATTATATATAAAATTTTTAAACTTGTACATTTCAACAAAAATAGACTAAAAATGTCATTTAGAAAAGAAAAACACTGTAGCTTGAAGAAGGAAACCAATTGCATTTTTGAAATCAGCTATGTCAAAATATTCAAGATCTCTTTAAAAAAAATCTCATTCAACAGAAAGCAAAAAAAAATATTGTTCCATACTGTTATTAGAGCAATAAAACAATCAATAACTCCTCCACAAATCAATCACTGGAGAATCACTAAATTAATTCAATGAATGAGCAAATCAGTGTAACAATGAGTGAATGAATCAATAAACCAATGTATCGGTGAGTTAATGAATGTATAAAATAGCAAATTAATTAGCATTAAAAAGTTATGATTCATTCCTCCTTCAAAGGTTTATTGATTTGTTACCTTAATCATTAGCTCACGCATTGATTCACCAATTAGTTAATTATCTCATTCATTTCTTAGCTGATTCCTTAATTAAGGTACTCATATATTTTGTTTGCATTTTCATTGTTAATTATTATTATTTTGTTCATAAATTTACTTATTCCTTTGGAAACCTATCATGTTATCTTTCTATGCTTTGAAATCTTTTTTTTTTAGTGTTTCTGGATTGTTTACTTTTATATAGCTAGTAAAAACTAACTGAAAGCTGCAGACAGAATTAAAACTTATGTTTATCTTAACCTTCAATGCTATAACTATATTTGTCACTATAAAAAAAATCATGGATGCCCATTGATGTTTTAAGTTTTTAACTAATAATGATTGAGGAATTATGTATTATAATAACGATTAATGAAAAATGAATTTCCATTCCATATATATACGTAATAAATATTTAAAATTTAGTTATTTTATTGCACAGATATTGACTCCATCTTTTTTATTTCTTCGAGTTGCATTTTTCTCAATAATAAGTCTTAAAATTATAAGTTTTATGTGAGCAGTTGGATTTGTATGTCTGGGAACAACATCTATTCTAGTTCTGTTTTAGTTTCTGGTGAATACATAAGCTGAAAATGTATAAAGTATGCGGAATTACAGTTTTCGAAAAAGAACTATAACAAATGTTGAGAATGGTTATCAGTGAAAAATAATTCTTATTCTTGAATTTTGGTAATTTTATTTTGAATTAAAAAGTTCAATGATACCTACTTGTGCTATTTTTTATAAATGCATATCCTTTTCATAATTTATTCAATATATTATTATTGAAAAAAAATATTTTTAAAAAAAATTCTTTTTATCAACACTTAACATCGCAACAAAGATATTCATTTTGGTGCCCGGGAGGGATTTTTCTTAAATTTAGTGTTTATTTATAGTGTAAAGGCATTCACGCAATGCCTACATCGAAGAAGAAAAAAAATGCAATATGTCCAAAGCTCGTTAAAATGTAGTGGTTGGACTTATTTTTAATGGTGCAAAACAAGGTGCGCAGTAAAACTAATAATTATATTACTTTTATAAGATAAGTATGAAAATTAAAGAAAAATGTTAAGTTTTTTAATCATTATTAAAATGTTTTTTTTTTTTTAAAAATTATAAAACTTCAGTGATTTTTAGTTAATTTTTTTATTTTTTTTTTAAATTGAAAATGGTTGACTTATGTTTCTTTTTTTCTTCTTTAGAAATGAATAAAAAAAATCAAAAGTGAATTGTGTATTAAAAAACTAATCAAATTTATATATACTTATATCTTGTTCACTCTTTGAATATTAAATGTATTGTGAAGGAAATATAATTCTCCTTTCATTTAGCAAATAAACTTTCTGAAATAGTAATTCCCATTGTAATTCATTTCAAATTTAAATAATTATTTTTATAATAAAAGCTATAAATTAATAATGTTTTTAGTGCAAAATAAAAGTGAAAAAAAAAAGCATATTTATGATGCAAATGAATTTATTTATTCGGGATGTAGTTATTCTGAAACCAATAGATAAAAAGGATTTTCTAATTTTTGCCTCTTTAACTTTTAACTGAATTTTATAGCCAAAATATATTTAGGACCTTTCTTCCTTGCACACACTCAGAATATGTTTCATACTAGAACCAGTTAAACTTCTTTTCCACCAAGTTGGATGCTAATGCAGTATCCGCAGTGTAAAAACGAACTCAGTATTTTTTTAAATTTTTTTTTTTTGATATTTGAAAAAAAGGATAATTATTGAAATATTTTTTCGTGGGGGATAGTTTTCCAGTCAAATTTATTATATTATCAACGCACAACTTTACGAAACCCTTAAAATAACAGAAAAGTAAAACGCATTTGCAAGTAGTGGCTTATAGTTTGAGAGGAACGAGAATTCTTTTTTGGTTGGGGATTATTCTTTCCTGGCAAGTTCATTATAATTTCAAATAAAAAATAACATTAGCGATGAACATTAGTAATCAGTGGATTGTTTTAACTAAAACATTAGTTTTAATTTAGTGTTTAAGGTGGTTTAAAACTTTTTTCGGGGAGTTATTGTTTAATAATTTTTATATCAGAAAAAAAATATTGAAAACTTTCTCACCAGATGGCACATTCAAGCGTTGTGATCTTGAATAATTGTCCTATTTGATCTGAGTTGTGTCGTATGATGAAAAAGCACTCTAACGGTATATTGAGATGTAGATAATATTTTGTTTTCATAATGTCATAATAACGGCCAAAAGTAAATATTTTAAGAGAACGCTGCTGGCGCAAAATTTGTGTTTTTGTCCTTTAAATTTCATGGTTTTGTTATGAAATTTAATGCTTTAGTAAATTGTATTGCCTGTGTTTTATTAATTATAAATTTAGTGTATTAAAAACATATAATTTATGTTCTCTGAAGTTAAAGGCTTTTATTATTTGTGGCTAGTCCCAATGCATCTGACTGTAATACATTATTTTTCAAAATCTTCCCCTTAGAAATGCTAATATTTTTCACACATTTGCTTAGGAAAACCTGTACTTTATTTTCCATACATTATCTCTTATCAGCTAGATACGTCCTATAAAATTAGTTGAAAACATTATTTTAAACAAAATTAAATAATTAGACATACCAGCACCCCATTGCAATAATAACTAATAGAAGTAAAATTTTGTTCATTAACTATTACCAAAGGCTATTTTCAGCATCTTCTTAAAATCTATGTGAAAAACTTATGTTTTTGCATTACATTTATAAACATTTGCCTATCTATGCAATTTTTGCTACTAGACTTATAGAAAACCTTTTCTTTGAAAAAGAAAAAAATATGTTTTAATTGAAAATTGTAGTCACTATTTATGGAAATTTTCTATTGTTATTTTTTAAAGGGAAATTAAGTACTGAGTTATTTATTACCCATGTTTTGTCAAAATAAATAGAACACGAATATTAAAGCCTTCATAAAATATTTTTAGTGTTTTTCTTTCCACTCAGTATACATGTACCCACACAGTACTTTTCTCTATATATAGTACTTCTCTCTCAATCTATAATAGTATTTATTTTTATGAGAAATTTTAGGTACTCTAAAAATAACGTTATACAAAAATTTCATCTCACTAGGAAACAAAACAAAAAAGATAAGTGAAAATAAAGCTTATCATAGTAATTTGGTTTGATTTTAGTTATTTGCTTTATTATTACAACCGTTATGAAAAGAAATGACAAATTAATATTATAACCGGGCTAAACGAATGTTTAAAGAGATAAGTACGGGCCTGGGGAAGTGCTTCTTTCTCTTTTCGCCAGTTTTAAAATAAATTTTTAAAAAATTTCTTAAATTTTGCAGAAGATCACACATAATAATTAATGTCTTGAAAGATGAATAATTTTTAATACACGCATAAAGAAAAAATATCCTAAGAATCTTCGTTAAGAACTCATTACTAAAGAACAATTTATAACTCGAAAAGTGTCGTTCGGTTATATTTATTAAGAAAAAAACACAGAAATACATTTACTCAATTAATGTTTACAACAGGCTAATTGTTATTGTAATTATTTAGTTTATGTAATTTGTTGTTTGATGTCTTTTTAAAATGAAATTTCTATACCGTGATGAAGATCTAATTGAATAAAAATAAATCCTCAGAAACTATATCTAAATATATTAAGAGTTCTTATCTACAGTCTATCAAATTTACGGACATCTTTTTTTGAAAACAATGGTGTGGTTTCCTGATCAGTCTTGCAATGCCTAAATAATGCCATTTATCAGAGAACTTGTAAAAATAATTATGAATTAATAGTTCAAGATCGCAGTGAAAATTCAATCATTCTTTTCAACATAAAGAACATCCATTCTACAGAAGCAAGTTCGGATCAGATATTTTAACCCTTTGAGGTCGCGTATTAAGTTTATACATGCTGGTCGGAATTAATTTTCGTATTATGAAGGAAAAAGAAAATTTATTAATTCTTTTTTAAACTCAAGATATACATGTAGCACAATAATATGTTTCAATTTTATGTAAAAATTACATTTTATAGTTCTCCATCGTGTGGTATCTTTCAAAGCAGTCTCCAATATTAAGCCCTGCTTTTCGTGAACATGTGGCGCCAAAATAATCAGTTTGACATCTTCTGCCTTTAATTAGTCTGTTTGAACATACAGAACAATCGATGCATCTTCACAGAGCCGCAATATATGTAATTTGCCATTAAACTGTGGTTAACATCTTTGCTGTGGTGGCTGAGAGCAGACATACGATTAGAACGATAAAAAAGCGTTGGTCGCTGAGAGTAGACATATGACCGCAAAGGGTTAAAATATCGTGTGAGTACCTTTAGTAGAAGCAGAGATAATTAGATTGAAAGAAATAGGAGAAACTCTTTTTTTCAAAACGAAATAATCAGTTTATAATTGCAATCTAGTTCAAATAACAGTATTAATTTCCAGCTTATTTAATATAGCATTTTTAAATAAGTTGAGTCCCATAGTGGACTGATCGTTAAGACATGGTTCCCAGCAGATCACCGGCTGCGGTCAGTGTGCGGGTGGGTGACCACTTGGATCAGTCTCCGTAGGGACCGAGGGCGTGCGGTATTGGTCCTCGTTAAACTGTGCTACCGTAAAGTGCTCGACTTCGCGTGCAGGTTGTTGGGCTTCCGAAGCTGGGGTGCCATTCCCTCTGCAGAGGATAAAAATTGTGATGGCATGTCTTCGGATCATCCCTAGGCATGTTTCCCAGACCGTCGCCAATAGCCCTTTGTGCAGCTCTAGTGCGACGTAAATGAACTACAACAACAACAATTAAATAAGTTGAAACCAAAAGCAACAATTGGAAACAAAAATTTAATACATTTCCTAAGAAATTAAAACAAATGCACAGTTTCTTTCAATATTTTACAAGCAGGAATACAGCAAAACCTAAAATATAATTATCTATAGAGCTGTTAAATTATCATAATTAAATTTTATTAATACATTTTGCTAAATTAAGAAAGTCACACTAAACATATCACAACTACAAACCACATATTGAATTCTCAATTGAGAACTGCTCACTAATTTTTATAATGGACAACTGTTAAAAATGAATACTCAAACCACTTCTCAAAAAATATAAAATGTGAATTTTAAAATTCTGTTTAAAACTAATATAAGTAACATAAAAGTTTTTTTTTTATTAAAAATAGAAGTAAGAAACTTATTGAGGTACTATATTAAATTTTAATAATTTCAACTTAAGCAAATTTATAGTGGTCATTTTTAGCTTCTTCCATTTCGTCCAGTTTCTTCCATTTTGTCCTTATTTCTTCCACCTTAATGCCAATCCTTAGTGGAAGAATAGTCAGGAAGGAAACATTCCCACTGAAAACTGCGACTCTTCCAGCACAGTGTGTTTAAAAAGGATTATCATTGACGGATCTCTTTCCCAGCGGATGTCTGTCGCAGTTGCAAAATGACCCTCCTTCTGGTGGACTCTTGGTGCAGAGGAATCCACACATGTTGCTCCTGAAAGAATCGTCATCGATGTTCACACCATGCGGAAGGGGAGTGGCGGACGACAACCTCATGAACAGGCACGTGACCACCAGAAGCTTTAAGCTTAACATCATCTACAAAAAAGAGAAATCTGATCACAAATATGCCTTCGCAAATTTTCGTGCACTGCACCCAACTCCGCATCAACCCCAATTGGAGGTGCGTGCAGTGTTTCCCTATTAGTTATTTCCTATTATTTACATATCATCAATTTCGGATGTCTTTGGGGGAAAAACCACGATGAATGCAAATTATTTATTTGAGTCGCGATGACTCAGGAGACAGAGCGTTTGCCTTCCAATGAGGCGAACCGGGTTCGAATCCCAATCGATACGAATTCCGCACCCGTCTCGCATCGACCACAGTGCTGGCATAAAATATCCTCAGTGATATACGGATCATGGGTTAGAGTCCCCTTGCCGTCAGAGGTTCTCGTGGTCTTCGTTTCCATGTAACGCAAATGCGGGTTAGCTCCATCGAAAAGTTCTCCACGAAGGCAAATTTCTCAAAATACTGGATTCAGGAGTTCCCTTGTCCATTTGTTGTAAACCCATAACATTGGGTCGGCTGTTCCACGACGGCTATAAAAATCATTTACTAATAAAATCATTTAGCCGCGATGGCTCAAGGGATAGAGCGTTCGCCTTCCAATGGGTTGAATCGGGTTCTAATCCCGGCGATGGCTGGTCGATTCAAATTCCGCAACCGTCTCGCATCGACCACAGTGCTGGCATAAAATATCCTCAGTGGTAGACGGATCATGGGGATCAAGAGTTCCCTTGCCGCCAGGCTAACCGTGGAAGGTTTTCCTCTCCATCTACCGCAAATTAGGGTTAACTCCATCAAAAAGTCCTCCACAAAGCAAATTTCTCCCAATACTCGATCCAGGATCAATGATTTATTTTTTAGAGTTGAAAGTTAAATTAGAAAGAAAGAAAAAGTTTAGAAAAGAAAAAAAAACTAGGCATCTTAAACCAACAAACCTCTTCTAATTTTTTAAAGCTAACTTTATGATGTCAAATTAAACGCAAACTTCAACAAAAAACATTACTTTTCATCTAAATATTTAAGATGGTTCTATCATTTATTACTGGTAAAGTTGTTTTTACTCATAATTATATCAGTATGGGTCATTTTTATTGAAGCTAAATTTTAATCATCAATCAGTTTTTCATTACGCCAACACAAGTGGCATAAAGAAACGATTACGCAGTAAGGAAATGATTTTTGACTAAAATTAAAATCATTTGTGAAAAATCATGTACCTCCAATAACATTCCGATTTTTAAAAAAAATTCTTTGAAATAACTGCTTAGCCTTGAATCCAGAAGACAAGAGAACACCTTCTCAAAGAACAAGGTCACATTCACCAACAAGAAATCTTTCATGCGAAACTAAAGCATTTACACGAAATGGAGGCAAAAACCACGAAACTGTCTCATGGTCAGCCCGATGCCAATGGAGCTCTGATATGTTTCAGCCAACGTTAAAATTTGCATCAGCACTGCAATCTCTGCTGGCAGGGAAGAAAATAAAGTTTATTCATTAATTTCTTCGATTCGTTTATATGTTGACAATGTCAATTTTTTTTTAAAGTTGCCATTAGTTTTATCAAATATATCATTAGTACGCTTATCATTTCGGAGATAACACTTAACATCTTAAAGATAAGCCTCTTGTTATTTTCAATTCGAAAGTAACTATCCGAAGAAAAAAAAATGGTAATAGGAATTACTAATACTATGTTAATTTGTGTTGTTTTAATATGTACTCTATATATAGTTTGTCTTAAGTAAGAACTACTCCAGCCATTTGTCTGGACTCGTGGCAGTGACTATGGTAACGAGGTATAACTATTTCAAGTAGGGGTGTGGGGTCATTGTTTAGGACAGGTTTTTGCTCAGGTCGGAGAACGAAAGGGAATTTCTTTTCTTTGGTCTACTGGGTTAGCCCTCGCGTAATAATAAGTTACCCTCCCTGGAATGCACTATTCTTGTTTTCATATCAGTAGACGGCGTCAGACTTCGTGGAGGGGAGAGTTCTTACCATAGACAAACTATACTAATATTGGTATCACGATACTTACCATAGGTATTGGGGAAATATTTTTTTCAACCGACCGAATCGGGTAAGTACCGGAGAAAATTGTTGGTTATGGTAATTTTTGACAGTCAGAAATTGGTCTCGTTCTCGAGCGATAGAATTATGCCAAATGATAATGAGCATTGTTAATCTTCATTTTAGATAGCACGAATTTGTAAAAATTTGTTTTGCTTTTTGGGGCGAGGAGTAATCGACCATGTCAACCTTCATCTATGAAAAGGTACCCCAACATCGAGTCGAGTTAACATGTCTTATATACCAGTGAATTGTCAATGTAATTTTGTAGTGGTAGATACGCTACAGTACTCCCTCACCAGAATCATAGCTATGATAGAATTCGATACATGGATACCACTTGTTGCTGTATTTGTGACAGACCGGGAGAACTGGTTTAAGGTCACCGGGTTTTTGAGCATTAGTCATGAGAGCTGTATTAAGATCATCGTCGCAGTCGCTCCTGTGTTGCCTTTAGCAGTCGGGTGTATGCAGGTTGACGTTGTGTGTGATCGAGACGAGACTGCGTAGCAACAGTGAGAGGAGGTGGAAAGTGTCGCAGTCACAAGTAGCAAGTCAACTGTTCCATGTGAACCATTCATCGAAGTAGGCGTTACTATCTAGGTAGGCGTGTTCATATCGAAGTGGGCGTTTCTGCCAATGTAGGTGTGTTCACATCACGTCCGAAGGTAACCAATGTGAGGCGAGGAGTAATCGACCATGTCAACCGTCATCTATGAAAAGGTGCCCCAACATAGAGTCGAGTTAACATGCGTTATATACTAGTGAATTGTAGTTATAATTTTGTAGTGGTAGATAGGCTACAGCTTTGACAAAATAATGTAAGCCTATCAGGAAAAGCAACAAGCAACGAACAAATTTTATTGTTTTAAGTTAATTAATCATGTCTGCATATCTCTTTCAATTTTGTAATGTTGATCACTCGTGATTTATTGTTTATTTAGTTTCATTGCAAACCGTAAGAAGAACGAACATTCGGCTAGTAAGAATAATAATAAACTGAAAAAGTTGCATAAGCACAAAATAATATTTATTTTCAACGCTACTTTGCTTAGCAAAAAAAAAAAAAAAAAATAATTNAAAAAAAAAAAAAAAAAAAAAAAAAAAAAAAATTAATTAATAAATTTATTACTGGAGCGGTGTGTCTGAAACACAAAGTGCTGCTAATCAGAAGAAGAAAAAGCTATTTGAATCAGGATTTAAAAGCTATTTAATAGAAGAAGAAAAGCTTGTTGAAGCTATTTAAGGGTTATTTTTTCTTGTCATTTTTAATTACTGATTCGTAAAGAAACATAATTTCCTCTTTAATGTATGGAAGATGCTGCTTCAGGGTTTCATTTCCACCAATTTTTCTCTCTGTGCCCGAAGTCAAGAGAACTCCTGGATTAAGTATCGGGAGTAATTTGTCTTTGTGGAGAAAGCTTTAACCCTTTCGCGCCGACTGTCACAAATACGTGCCAGCATAAAACCGTATCAATCAGGGTAAAAAGATAAAACTTGTAACCAAAGTATTTTTTTAGCAGTTAATTTGTGAGTGTGGTTATAATTGTTTGATTTATTTAATTCACCATTACTTTGTTCAAAATAAAACTATTTAATTATACTTTGAATTAACATTGATTATATATGGTTAAACTAACAATAATTAAAGTAAAAGCAAAGTAAGTCTGTCAAATTAGCAACGACTGCATTTAAATTACCGTTTTTTATTTAATTACAACTTGATTCTGATTTTGTACGAAAGCTTTTCTTAATCACCCGTCCCCAAGGGGTTAATGAAACTAACCTGCAGCTTTGCATAGAGAGGAAAACCTCCCACGGTTAGCCTGATGGCAAGGGGACTCTAATCCATGATCAGTCTATCACTGAGGATGTCTTACTTCAGTACTGTGGTCGATGCGAGCCGGGTACGGAATTTGTATCGACCAGCCTTCGTTGGGATTCGAACCCCGTTCACCTCATTAGGAGGCGATCGCCTTATCCCTTAAGCCACAATCAATTTAACATTTAAAATATAAGTACCCTTATCTCATTTAGCAAAGGTGAAGGTCTTATTTAGTAAAGGTTTCAATATCGTGACCTGGCACGCCAAGGAGACAAAAGGATTTAAAACTTGCAATTTAAGAAAAAACTCATTCACTCATTTACAGGTTTGCGGGGGTGACTATTAGTTATAATACCCTTACAGTTGTTCGTCTTCTGTGATGTTTTTTTAAATTTTTTTTTATATTCTGTGATATTTTTTAAAAATTTAGATAATTTTTTAATTCTTTCGGACTGGTGCCCGAAAGTTGCAAGGCCTTGGCGATTATTCTGCTGCTGATCACAAATATTTCTGATAAAAGAAATATTTTAATTTTTTCTTTGCAATGGAATTTATAATTCTTATAAATTATATAGAATTCCTTATTTTAATCGGAAAATAAAAGGGTGTGCATACTTTGTGCTAAAAATAATAGGGAGTGTTTTTAAGTAAATCCATGCTCACTATAAATGTAATTATATCTTATGTTTAATTTCACATTTAGTGTTTTCAGCGTAAACTTTTTTTTCTTCTCTCTTTCATAATTTTAGTTATAGTTCTCCATCTTCAAAAAAGTCTAAAAGGAATTCGTTTGCCCTCTTACAAGTTATCAAGTTACAAGTATTACACAAAGGATCAATTATCTGTTTATTTTCAAGAGGAAGATGCTCCGTACCTCTCTGGTTCAGAAAAGATATAATGGTGAAAAATGCATTTTGGTGAATAGTAAGAAGACTGAATTTTTAAACCAAATTGTTTATTCTACGTTGACATCTACATTTTCAAGAGAGCTGGTGGCTCAGGCGATAGAGCACTTGCCTCCCAATAAGGTGAACCGGGTTCCTATCCCGGCAATGGCTGGTTGATTCGAATTCCTCACCTGACTTGCACCGGTCACAGTGCTCACGCAAAATATCCTCTGTCGTAGACGGA